ATCATCATCATCATCATCATCATCATCATCATCATCATCATCATCATTACTACTACCATTATCATTGTAGTTGACAGGTTGTTTTTATGTAGGCCAGGCTAGCCTTGAACATGCGATTTTCCTCCCTCAGTTTTCCTCATACTGGTAGTTCAGGCGTGTACCCACTGTGCCCCACTTCCCCTGAATCCCATCTCGGTGACTCCCTTTCCTTTCTCCTAGCTGGAACTGTTGCTCCCAGAATTACACCTTCTCCTTTCTTGGCTTACTTCCTTTTTTTTTCTCTGGAGCACATCCTCAACAAGCTTCTTAAGAAAGGCTATGTGGGAGTTGAATTTTCTGAGACCTGTCTTATTCATGTCTGTGGCCATCACCTTCATCATTTAATCCGGTTTATCCGGACTTTTCTGAGAACTTGAGAATTATTGCGTCATAGATGTCGACACATGGTGAGCCCTCCTATCCTTAAGCGTTTTAAGACAATTTGAAAATCATATTTCTCTTTGCTTTTCTAAAGCTTCACAATGCTGTATCTAGGTATGAACAACACATTTTCCCTTTTGTTCATTCTGCTGAGAATTTAGTGAGATCTAAAGACTGATGTCCATCAGAGCCTGCATTTTTAATCTTTGCAATACCTTATTTGATAACCTACTTAATTTTAGCTCTTTTCTTTTTGAAACCTCTGCCAGTTGGAGAGGGTATTGGGACTCCTAGACTGGTGTGTGTGTGTGCGTGTGTGCGTGCGTGTGTGTGTGTATACATATGGTCACGCGTGTTCACATGGAAGTCAGGGGTTGACACTGGGCGTCTTCCTCAGTTACTTTCCACCTTGTCTTTTGAGACAGTGTCTCTCAGTGAGCCTAAAGCTCAACCATTGGGCTAGATTAGCTGGCTAGCGAGCCCTAGGGATCCTTTCACGTTCCTCTCCCTAGCACTGGGTTTATTACCACTGGCGTTTAGCGTAAATGTTAGGGATTCTAACTCTGTTCCTCATGATTACATAGCCATTTACCTACTGAGCCATCTTCCTAACCCCCAACCTCCCCACTGATTTCCCTGTCCCCATTTCTGTTGTTGCTTGTACCTGCTTTTCCTGCTTATATCCTATTTTCTGGGAGCCTACTTTTAATTAATTAACTAATTTAGCTAGTTAATTAGTTAGTTTTTTTTTTTTGAGACAGGGTTTCTCTGTGTAACAGACCTGGCTATTCTGGAACTTTCTTTGTAGACCAGGCTGACCTCGAACTCACAGAGATCCACCTGCCTCCGCCTCCCAAGGGCTGGGATTAAAGGCGTGCACCACCATACCGTTTATCTTTATTTTCTAATCCTTTTGGTGAATTAAACAAATCAACAGTCTTACGGTTTTGTTTGTTTTGTTTTTTTCTAAAACAGGGTCTCACTACAGCCCACGCTGTTTTAGGACACACATCCTGCTGCCTCCACCTCCCCAGTGCTAGTATGACAGGCCTGGCTGTGTACACACACGTGTGGTCAGAGGGAGGATAGCTTTCAGGAGCCGGTTCTCCCCTTTCACCACGGGCTCTGGGGCTCTGCTTCAGGTCAGCAGGCTTGTGCAGCGAGGACCTGTTGTCTGCCCTCCTTGAATTATTTGTCTCCTCCAAGCCGACCTCGTTCTCTTTTCACTGTTAATGTGTGGATTCCTTGCACAGGAATTTAGTTCTTGACTCCAGCAACCTGTTTATTTTCACGGAACCTGACACCAATGGTGTCGGGTCCCCTGAACTGCATGGAAGGAGTGCCCATGTGTGTGAGTGCCCATGTCTGTGGCGGCACACGTGTGTCTGTTATCTCCCTACGTGGCTCAAGGGCTAGTGTGCGTTACCTGTCTTCCCCATCACAGTGGGCTTGGGGGCTTGGAACAAACCCTGGTAAGCTTAACCTCGGGCATCTAGTACAGCTGCCCAGGCTGGACCCACCGGCCCAGAGGCCTAAAGAAGTCCAGTGGGCAGGTGGGTGTGGGCATGTGGTCACTTCATGTGTCCTACATGTCAGTCCCTTCTAAACGCACAAGCTAGAAAAGATGGGAATCTCTTCTGACCACAGTGGAAGACAGAGGGCAGTTCTTGAGGCGGGGACTCTGTGGTTTATATGCTGTCTGTCTTTAGTGGCCAAGTCAGCACTGACCCTCAGTTTTCTCCTCGGTAACATGTGACATGTAATTAGTGACAGCCTGAGGTCACAGAAGGAAACAACTTCACATGTGAAAGGTCTAGACCCCGAGAGTTGCTAGAGACGCGGTCTTCAAGCTTGACCTCCAGAGTCCTTCCGGCTCCTCCTTTCCACCCCAGCCCCAGCCCCAGGCCTTCTTACTGAATCAGTTCCAACACCCTCCTTTTCATGGCCCGGACCAGGTCCCTCTGCCCTTCCAGCTCCTTCTCATACATGGCGTCCCTCCTCTCAGCCTCCTGCTGCTTCTGTTCCAGCATCATTTGCAGTCGGGCTCTTTCTGCCTCACACCTGGGGACAGGAGACTCGGTTTTAGGAGAAAGGCTCAGAACCTGTGATGGGAGCCGGTCTACATATAGGTACAGCATCTACATACATGAACATACAGAGGCACACAACACACACACATCACACACCATATGTACTACATATTGCACACACTATACATACCCACCACCGACCACCTCTCTGCAGTACACACACACACACACACACACACACACACACACACACACCACAATAAACGTGTATACCACACACCAAAATGAGCACCATTAGACAGATTCAACAATCGCAGAAAAATAGAAACAGGGCCTAACCTTGAGTGTTCCCGTAGAGGGTGCTACTGAACATTTCCTTCCCTCTTTCCCGCCCTCCTTCTTCCTTTCTCTCCCTCCCTCTCCCTCCTTCTCTTCCTCCCTTTTTCCTTCCTTCTTTCCCTCCCTCCCTTTTAACATTTCCACTTTAAAGTGTAACTTTGGAAAGGTATATTTTGGGGAGGCCTGACTGGAAGGAGGGTGACCGCCTAGCAATCTGGGCTGCGGACACTACACCCAGCTGGGAACAACTGCCCGTGGAAGAGAGCCCTGGAGGTCTTGGGGTGATTATCTTGCTTTAAAGTATTTTTGGAAGCTGTGCTACATTGTCTTTTCGATTTAAACAGCAGTAGGAAAAACATGACTTTCCTAAAGTTCTGTCTCTGTTCTGGGTTTGGAACTGCCGCAGCTCTATTCTTGCCTTTCTTGTTGTTGTTAGTGGTTTTCTAGAAGGTTCCAAGAAGTTTACTAAATTGAAAATAAAAGAGCCCAAGCTTCTCTCTCCGTGACCTGGTTGGGAGTGTACACCAGCTAGCAGTGGGTAGATGCTAGTGAGTCCAGGAATCAAACCTAGGGTCTTGTACAAGCCAGGCGGGCACTCTATCAGCTCTTGAACGATTGGCTTTTAAAGTATAGCCAGTTAGCAGGCCCCCAAACTGAAAGCTGGGTGCACTTTCAAATCTTGCCAAGAACCGAACTTCCAAAAGGCAACGAAAGCAGGCAGGCCTTGTCTGGACTTTTCTTAGCTGCTGACCTTCAGTTCCTGTAGAGGGCGCTATCAACATTTTCCTCAACTAGTTCTCGGACCCTCTAGGACTCTAGGCCCTTCCTTATGTGACATGACCACCGTGGGGTGTGTGTGTTGGCTGGGTGGGAGGGATAACCCTATCAGGCCCCTACTGTGTCCTGGTGGCTATTTTAGGTGCCAGCCAGTAAGAGGACTGCAGCCATGGCTCCTGTAGGACTTAGGTAATTAAGACAAGTTTTGTGACTGAGCCTTCTAAGGGCCATGGCAGAGACTAGAGAAGGTGCTGGAGGGGCCACTGAGACAGTCTGGCCTTGTGAGTCTGTGAGCTGGAGTGGGTTGTCTGCCTGAGTGACTGAAAGGAGGGTGCTAGGCGGGGACCCCAGGGAGAGGGCAGGAGAAGCGGGAGAGGCAGGGAGGTCAGCAGGGCTCCAGACAGAGCCACTGAAATATTTCAAACAGGGATGGCAGGAGGGGATGTGGGAAGGACAAAGGTGTCTTGAGCCCCTAGTCTATACCAGGCATCGGGCTGAGGCGCTATGGCCTCGCTTCATTCAATTTTCACATTGTTGTCAGATGGGGAGTATAAGCTTCATTTCATGAGAAAGAAAAGGAGAGTGTCAGGTGGGGTGTCATTCTTGCCTCTCACACAGTGTGGTGAGAGGATCAGAAGTCTGGACAAGAGTCAGTCCAGCTCCCCTATGTCTTCTCCACACCTTGCCCCAGTTACCAGCGCTGTGCGGGCAGGAGCTGGGTAGAGCAAGTGGCTTCCTGTCAAGTCGCTCTGTCTTTTGGGATGGACTTCCTGGGTTTTGTTTACTATGGTACACCTGTCCCCTACCCACTCGTGGTCACACAGGTACAGCAAACACAGTTGGTGGAGAGGATGTGCCCGGAAAACTGGGACTGGCTGGTGGTGAGCCCCTGCCACTGGCTGGACGCCCATGGTCCCTTTGCCCAATGGTGGGCTCAGTGCTTGGCTCCTGAGGCTGGGCTTGGCACTTGCTACTCCATCTGCAGTCTGACATGACTCTCCACCACCTCCCAGGCCACCTTCTCTCCAGCACGTCACACCTGACTTCTTGCCCAACAGTCCTCCCCTGGAAGTCTGACTGGTGTCCCAGGCTTTACAGTTTACGGTTTACTTTCCACACAAGCCCATCCACCCCAACTTTCCCCACCTCTGAGAACAGTTGCTTTTAACTCTTTCTCTCAGACCCACGACCAGTCTCTTAGAAAGCCCTGCTTCAAAATTTACCCACAAATCAGCAGCTGCACCCCCTCTGCTCGGGCTAAATACCTCAGTTCTTCTCCTGTTGTTCTGACCGGTTTTTATGTCAGTTTGACACAAGCCAGGCTCATAAAGGAAGAAGACATCTTAATTGAGAAAATGACTCTAAAGGACTGGCCTGTAGGCAAGTTTGAAGGGACATTTTCTTAATTAATAGCAGATGTGGGAGGTCCCAGATCACTGTGGGCATGACCATCCCTGAGCAGGTGGTCCAGGACGGTATATAAAAGCAGGTTGAACAAACCCTGAGAAGGCAAGCCAATAAGTGGCACTCTTTCATGGCCTCTGCATCAGCTCCTGCCGCCAGTTCCTTCTCCAACTTCCCTTAGTCACGTCCAGCTCTGTGGGACTGTCAGCTGAAATAAACCCTTTCCTCCCCAAGCTGCTTTTGGCCATGGTGTTTTATCACAGCAAAAGAAACCCCAACTAAGATACCATTTACCAAGAAACTTTCTGGAAAGAAGGCCTCCTGGGAGTTGCTGATGGTTTGCACGGAGAGGAAAGGCAGAACACATAGAGGGAATAGCAGGGTGAAAGGCCCTAAGGTGGGACTGGGCAAAGCGGGTTCAGGAATATGGTGGAGGTCCTTTTTTCCCCAGTGGGGGTGAGAAAAGAACCCTCTAGTCTTGTTCCATAGGGTCAGACTGGACTGGTCAAGTCTACGAACTGAAAGTAAGTTGGAGAATTACTGCTAATGGGCACAGGGATCTTTAGGGAGAGACACCAGTGCTGTAAGATTGATGGAGCCAATGGCTGCACAACTCTGTCACTATGCTATACTAAAATCTTCTGGATTGTTGAAGAATTTATAAAACACACACACACACACACACACACACACACACACACACACACACACACTATCATCATCATCATCATTATTGAGAAAGCATTTCTCTGTTTAGCTTTTAGAGCCAGTCCTGGAACTTGCTCTGTAAACCAGGCTGGCCTGAGACTCACAGACATCTGCCTGCCTCTGCCTTCCGAGTGCTGGAATTAAAGGCGTGGACCTCCACTATTCGACCGAAAGCTTATATATTTACCCAATCAGACTACGCCATGCCCTTCCTCTGTTTGAACTCTATAACGGCTCCCATGCTACTTTGATTTAAAGCCAAGGTTATTTTGATGACTTCCCAGACTGCCCTTTCCTCCCTCACCTGACTGGGGCCAGAATGGCTCCTACAATCCTCCTTGAACCTGCTGTACAATTTCCCAAATCAGAATCATTGCTCCTGTTCTGCCCCCTGCCTGGAACATCTTACTAGCTGGCGTCTAAAAGTCTAGCTCCTCACTTCCTTCGTGCATTCACACAAACACCAGAGCTTCTGAGAGGCCTTCAGTGGCCACGCCACCCTCTCAAACACATCACTTCCTGTTTTCCTTCCCTGTTTTTTCTCCACACAACTCCAGGGGTTGGGGAGATAGCTTTGCAGGTAAAGTCACTCACTGCCAGGACTGACGTCCTGAGTTCAGACCCAGAACCCACAACGGTGAAGGAGAGAGCTGACTCTGACCCCCACATGTATGCCATGGTACGTGCAGACCTACAATTGTGCTTGTGTGCACTCATCCCCCACACCTATACATAGAATAACACATGTATGCCATGGTAGTGCACACCCACAAACACGTTCATGTGCACTCGTCCCCCACACCTATACATAGAATAACACATGTATGCCATGGTAGTGCACACCCACAATCACGTTCATGTGCACTCGTCCCCCACACCTATACATAGAATAATACATGTATGCTATGGTACGTGCACACCCACAATCATGCTTGTGTGCACTCATCCCCCACACTATGCATAAAATAAACAAATAATAGTAATAGTAATAAGCCCGTCCAACCCATTGCTCTGTATTTCACATGCAGATTCCTTACTGCGAGCAACATGAAGGCAGGAATTCTGCGTTTTGCCCACAAGAGTATTTTGGGTTTAGAATGGGTACCTAAAGTGTTTAGGAATGACCAAGTGATGGGTAGCAGGGTGACAGGGGTCTATGAGACAGTGCCCTCAATACAGGAAGAAGTTGGATGCTGGGACATCTCTCTGGAGCCTCTTAGTTGCTCCCTCCCATTTTTCTTGAAGTCACAGAGACTCTTGCATGACTAAGACCCCCACTTTCACTTAGGATCTGAATCACAGGAGTATTTGCTGGTCACAGCAGCATCTCAGGCAGTGAGTATTGGGTGGAGTCCAAGGAGCTTTGGGTTGGAGTCTGGGCTCTCCGGTCTGACCCAGCTGTTTAATAGACAGACAGTAAACTTCCCAGTGATTCAGTATGAGTCATAGACACTCAGCCTCTGACAAGGGCGGGACTGTTCCCTGACCTTGTTTGGAGAAGGTGTTACGGTGTCCTTTAGAGATAGAGACAGCGTGCAGACCTACGAAGACCAAAGGCAGACTCCGGAAGATCTTTGCACGGAGTAGACTTTTAAAACAGGCAGGGTTGTGACAGATAATACCTTTGGGACCTTGAGATCAAGGGAAAGAAGGGAGCATGGAGCTACTTGGCAGAGAGAGATAGGGGAATATAGTCAGGGCTCTGTATCCCTGTCTCTGGTTTTAACCAACCACGCACCAAAGATGTTTGGAGACAAAAACAAACAAAAACCCTAAACTGTGTATCTTGGACATGTCCTGATATTTTCCTTCTAATGGATCCTCATACAATGTAGTGGTACAACTATTTTCACAGCATTCAGACCAAGTTAGGGAGGTTCATAGAGCCCAGGGGAGGGTGTCCGGGGTTCTGAGCAGACCCTACACTATCATTACGCGGAGCACTTGAGCAACCATAAAGGTTTCAGTTTCCCTTGGGGTCCTGGAACCAACCTCCTGCTGATACAGAGGACTATGCTAAAAACAAAACAGCAAAAAACTGGCCTGGGGCCTGTAGCTGGTTGTCAGAGTGCTTGCCTACCAGGCACAAAGACTTAACTTTGATTCCTAGTACCATATAAACTGGGCACAGAGCTCCAGGCCAGAAGGATCGGAAACTCAAGACCATCCTCAGTTACGTGGCAAGTTTCAGGGCAGCTTGAACTGTATGTGTAACACAACAAAATTGACTGAGGGAGCCGGGCATGAGGGGCACAGGTGCGGTCTCAGCACTGACAGACTGGAGGACCGTTTGAGCTGCGTGAAATGACCCAATAACAACACCGAACAGCAAGAGAGGCCAGTGCCGTGGAGTCAGCCGCAGGGCTTGGCTCTCAGGTTCTCTCGGTTAACAAGCTGACACTGGGTGGGTCATGTAAGTTCTGGGTGAATGTCAGTCACTGTTATGGTTATCAGGAGGCCGAAAAGGTTGAAAAGGTTGTATAACAGGGAACAACAACAAAACAAAAACATGGAGGGACAATTGAAAATGAGGGACAAAGCCAGGCTAGTGGTTTATGCCTGTAATCCCAGCACCCAGGAGGCTGAGGCAGAAGGATTGTCATATGTTCCAGGACAGCCTGGGCTACAGAGTGGAATCCTATCTCTAAACACTGTGTGAGGAAGGTAGATTTGGAGACATGGTGGAGTCAGAGCTGGTTAAAAAGGCAGAGGGGCACCCAGAAGAGGTGGCAGGAGTCAGAGCAAGCATGGCAGGAGCGCAGGGACAGGGAGCAGGGCTGTCTCCTAGGGTTCTTGGGGAGACTGGGGAGAAGAGGACCGGTGAGCCTCATAGGATCAGGATCAATGCCTAGGATGGCACTGGCCTCAGTAACCTGGAGTTGTGCACAACACAGGGCCAGGTACACTGAGATACTCAGAGTCCTGGAGTCCCAGCCCTGCTGGTGTTGCCAAGGTTACCTGCTGAGTTGCTCCCGGAGCGTCTGCAGCTCTCTTTCCTGTGCCTGCAGCAGCTGCTCCCAGCGCTGGGCCTGTTCCTTTGCCAGCTGAAGCTCATACCTGGGGTCCTGGGGACAAGATGAGAAAGGAAGACAAGTTGAAAGACAGCAACCCCCGTTTGGGGCCCACCTGATGAACTTCCGTATGAGGCTTTCAGCCACGCCTCTGGGAGCTGGGTGAGTCTGGGGTTACCATTTCTTTTCCTGAAATCACCAAGTTCTAGGACCTGGCAGACTCTGGCTTAGAAGGAGGCTGAGAGATATCTTCAGAACCACCTTGGGGGAGGGACTCCTGGGAAAAGCAATGCCAAAACGTGACAAGTCGGGGGTTCAGCCAAAGAGCTTAAACACCGGGAGACCTCTGCCCTGGTAACGGAGCTTGACCTTTGTGACCCAAAAGACTGCTGGGATGTGGGCCCGAACTCAAATGTTGGCATGGCTAGGCAGGAAGTACTGATGGGTGAAGGAGGCCTCGTAGGAAGCAATCACGGGCCGGGACACCCTGTGAACTGAAGAATGTGTGACTTCCAAAGGGCCTCCCCAGACAACGACTCTGGGAATCAAGCTGAAGCTGATTTGGGGGGGCTCTGTGTGATGGCGCACACCTATAACCACAGCATTTGGGGCGTCAGAGGCAAGAGGATCAGGAATTCAAGGACAGCCTGGCTATAAAGCAAATGTGAGGCCAGTCTGAGTTACAGAAGATCATTTCACAAACAAGCCCTTATACTGATCTGTGGGCTGGAACGGCCTCCGGCTATCTCTTTCGACTCCCCCCGCCATGAGCTGCAGACCAGGCTAGAGAGGAAGCAAAAGCCAGGTACCTTGACCACCTCCTGCAGTGTCTCTTCTGCTCGATCCTCCTGCCTGCTCACACTGGTCATTCCTGTCCACTCTTGTGGCTTCTCAGTGGAGGAGTCTTCCTTTATTCCCAGGCCTTGCAGGACCCAGGGCTGCCCTAGAAAACTAGGTTGATCCCACCCCTGCCTGTTCCTGAATGTTCTGTTGTCTACCCTTCCTTGAAGGCTGGGGGCCAGCAGTCCTTGGTCATGGTCCCAGTTTGCTTCCCTTTCCTGGGTCCCTTCTGTTGTTCTCTGGCCTTCTGTCATCGTCAGACTTCCTGTGCCTCCATCTTCCGTTCCTGTCACCTCCTTTTGAGCCTCCTTCGCTCCCTCCCTCTGTCGCTGGCTGCTTGCTGCTGAATTCTTTGGGGATCTTCTGTTCTTTGGGCCTCCCTCCTTTTGGTCTAGCTGAAATTCCTCCCCTTCTGTTTCCCGGATGCTCTGGGGACAACTGAGGCTCCTGGAATCCCCTCTCCTCTTTTCCAAAGAGGTGGGAAGATGGCCATGCTGCAAGGGGGTAGGGAGGTCAGGTTGGCTGTCTTCTCTGGGTGTGTCTTGCAGACAGCTGGTTCCATGGATATCTGGTCGCTGCAGCTGTTCTCCTCTGGAGCAGCTCACCTGGGGAGAAGTCCCATCTCAGCAACTGATCTGGACATAGACCTGGGCCAACAAGGTTTGCTTCCTATTGGATTCCTAGACCTCCTACTGGGAAAAGTCACCAGAGCCAGATAATCTCAGACAGCACTCCCACAAGACCCACAAATCCGAGGGGAGAATAGCAGGTGTCTCAGCTCCTCCCCTCCCTGCCTCTGGCCAGTGGCATCTCCCTCCTTCGCCTGTGTTGATCTTATGTCTCCCTGAATTCCTTCACCTTCTCCTTCCACCTTTTCTGCTGGGCTTGATTTTGTGTTTCTGCATTCTCACCTCTAAGAGGGGAACAAGAATTCCTAGTTTACAAAATGGCGAGAAAAGTGTAAACAGACTACTCTGAAGAAGCCCCCTCGGTGGGGATGTAGCTCAGTGGTAGAGCACTTGTCTAGTATGTGTGGCCTTGGATTCAATCTTTAGCATAGCAAGGGAAGCCTTCTCTCTGCTTCTATTTTTCCTTGGCCATATCTGCACCCTACAGTCATCCCTTGATACTAGGAGAGTTGGCTCTAGGACCTCAAGATGGTGTTCAAATTCCTGGACACTCGAGCCTCTTCTTTAACATCTGCTGATAACCAATGCACATCCTCTGATAAACTGGAGTCCTTTCTAGATGACTTTACCTCCCCACACAGTGTCAATGCCATGGAAGTAGTTATTACACTGCCTTTTGTGGGAAACTCTGAGGATAAAAGAATCTACAGTGTTCAGAACCAATACAATTATTTTTTTTTTTCTAAATGCTTTGTATGTGCGGTTGGTTGAGTACACGGATGCAGAACCCACGGGTATGGAAGGCTGACTGCACACTTAGCATAAATTGCACTGTGTTCCTGGTCTGTCTACACAAACAGTCCTTGAACTCTTTCAAGGTCTGAGACCGGGTCCTTAGCGGGGCCACATCTGGTGTCTGGAAGTTGTGCGACGATGACAACCTTCAGCTGCCACTTGAGAACAGAGCAGGAGCCAGGAGCCTTGTGCTGAGCTGCATGTGGGCTGTCTCAAGCCATCTACACAACTCCCCTAGGCGGTAGGACAGGAACTCGCCCAAGGACCTTTAGCTGAGTTTAGAAAGGGGCAGAGCTGGGCTGTGAATTGGGAAATCGGGCTCCTTCGTCACTCTGCTAACTGACACAGGCCAATTTGGACACTCAGCTCAGGGGTGTCAGTAGAAGAGGGCTCCCTGGTCTGTTTCCTGCAAGCCTCCAGCCACCCCTATTACCCTCTCCTCCCGAGAGTCCCAGTGGCTCCCACAGATGGCACTAGAGATCCCTTGTTCTTATTCCCCCTCCCTTGCTCCACACACTGCTTCCACCTCTGTTCTGTTTGGCTCTCTGAGCACCCACAGCAGGCCCTGCTCTACTTGGGAGTTCCAGTAGATAGATGATCAAGAAGCAAGTCAGGGTGAAGGCAGGCAGAGGCACCTCCTTTGGGAAACCTTCGGGCTTTCTGGGTCTCCTTTCCTGGGTCCGGCTGGGATTGGAGCCGCGGGACCTGAAACCAAGAGGCAGAACACCAGGGGTCTTTAGGTGGCTTGGTCCTCTAGTGGAGGCTACCCCAGCTTTGGAGCCACTCCTTCAGACTACGACTCTTCCTGTTTTCCAGCATCCCCTGAGTGGTTCCCTTTCCCCATCTAGCCGGCCATCCCATGTTCCATCTCCATATCCGTTGTATCTCAGAATCCTATCACCCATCCGCCCTCCTGACTTTTCCAGCCGGCCAATTATCTTTAGAAGCATGGCCTAGCTTGAGATGACACTGAGAAAGGAGAAGGCTAGAGAGAGGGAACAAGAATAAAGACGGGAAGGGAAGCAGGCTTCCAAAGGGGGGGTGGGAGAACAACCAATATTTCTACCCAGATATGGCACCTATGAGCCACAATAACCAACATGTCATGACACCCTAAGGGTGTAGTAGTGCTATACATACCTTGGTTGTAACTAACAGCTCTCTAATTGGAATTAAGACATCCTCAACAGGAGGGAAATCATGCCTGGTACTAGAAACCTCGCCCACCACCCAGGGGTTGCGAGGTCATAGATCTTGGGGAAGAACCTACAGCCATCACTTACTAAACCAGTATAATCCCTAGCTACGTTCTAAGTATTTGTCTTTCTACACACAGATCAGTGTAGTCCTCACCCTCACCAAGGAAACTTCTCTTTGCAACAGATGGAAATCATTACAGGAAACAACAGCCAGTCAAGATGAAGGGTTGTGGAGCCTAGTCCCAACAATACATATGCAATACATGTAAGGCTCAAGGATCATTGCCGAGGAGGGGGTTGGAAGGTGAGCCAGAGGGTCAAGGAGTTGGCTGCGAGGCTGTATCACCTAGGAATGTCAGGATCTACACCAATAAAACCTCACCAATGTGACTGCCTGCCCGTGAGCCTGAACAAGGACACTAGCAATAGACATGCTAACGTGAGTGAGGGACCGTTCACGAGAACTCAATCCTACAAAGAGAATTACAGGCAACTAAGGAATGCTGAGAGCAGGAGAAACAGTTTTTCCACCAACTGGTTATCCAGTAACAGATGGTTAGCCCTGAAAACACACAAATAACATTATGCAGACTGAGTGGGCTGAACATGTGTGTGTTGTGTGTGTGCACATGCGTGTATCTCACAACAATTAATGAAAAAGGAGCCTGTGAGTTTGAAGGAGGGTAAGGAAGAGTATATGGGAGGGTTTGGAGGGAGGAAAAGGAAGGGGACAGCAAATATAATTAAAATCTCAGAAAAAATTCTTAAGGGGAGGAAAGAATGGCTTCCATTGGAGGCTGAGAGCCCACTCACTCTGAGAACATGGGCCAGTCTTCATCCAGGTCTGGCCGCTGCAGGTCCAGGTTGAAGGCAATTCCGTTGAGGGCATAGAGAGAGTCCAAGATGTCTTCCTGGAGCTCAGGGCACAGCAGAGGGCTCCGGGGACCATACCATTCCCTGTGTGAAGAGGGACCAGCACATTTGGCCCTTGCCACTCTTGACCTCTGAGAACTGGCACACCACAGGGGACCTACCCGGGCAGGTGTGGTTGAGCTCAGCCTTGGAGGGCAGAAGCCCAAGCCAAACTGAAGACCCCTAAGCCCTTTCTCCTTTCTGACACTCATTCCCTTATCTCTAACTGTCAGTCATCCATTTAGGAGCGAAGGAGGGTAGTGGGCTCGATTGTCATACATGGGTTGATGGCCTGGAAGTCCTACCTAGTGAGATCTGGGCTCAGGAGGCACAACTGCATTGACTCGGCCAGCTGTCCACGGGCAAGGCAGAGTCGGATAAAGGCGCGACCCTTTCCCAGAGAGGTCTTCAGCTACAAGGAATGTGGAGGGCCAAAGAGAGGGCAAAATCAGGATGGGGAGCTGGGCAAAATCAGAGAGCACACAGATAGGAACAAGAGTGAAGGAGAAAGAGCGGGCCAAGGTTAGAAGAGAAATGTGTGACTGAAGGTGAGGCCAGGTCCAACGAGAGGCGAGGAGCAGGTGAGAAGCCTTCTATTAGCGGAGCAGGTCTGAGTGACACGGGACCTAGGGAAGGACTGTATGCCCGCCCCTGGCCATTCTTTGTCCACTGCTGGTACCACTGGTACCAGAGCTTCCTTGTGCTCCCAAAGTCCGTTCCTTTCTCATCTCCTTCTCTGTTACCTTGTTCTGTGAGCATACGAAGCTGATCTGCTCCGTGCATCCCCGCTGTCCTCGCAGGGCAGTGAAGAGGAAATCCCAGTAATCCTTCCGAGCCCCCAGGAAGCTCCTCTGTTCTCTCTGGTCAAACTAGGATCAAGACGAGAGAAAGAAATGTGTGCCAGTGGTTCCTTCAGGAACCTACCTAGCACCCTGGCATGTTGGGAGTGCCCTGGGAAGAAGAAAGGGCTCCTGCAGACAGGCCTTTTTGTGAGGGATCTGGCTCTGCTCTTACTGGCTGTGTGATGGGGATAAGATATTTGCTCTCTCTGAGCCTGAGTTCACAGTCATTCATTCACAAACACTTCTCTAAGTGAGTACTTCACTATGTGTAGGCCCCATTCTAAGGCCTGTGAACAATGAACAAACCAACCCCACACAGCTTACATCTTGGTACGGGAGTCAGAGGATGAATAAATTAAGTTCTTAAAGCATACAGTGTGTTAGATGGTGATGGTGGCTGTGGAGGGAAAAAAGAGAATAGAAAGTGTGTGTGTGTGTGTGTGTGTGTGTGTGTGTGTTAGTTATACACACACAGAGCACAGAGAGAGAGACAGACAGACACACACACATAGAGAGAGACAGACAGACAGACAGACACACATATATATATATAGAGAGAGAGAGAGACAGACAGACAGACAGACAGA